AAGAAGAATTTCTCTTTGGGGTTTTATACTAATAACAAAATAAACTATATCTTCTACAGGGATCTTACTAAAGATATTTAAGAATGAAACTTTAAAAGCCTATAAGAATGGAACATTAGATCAGTATTATATTTTGTCTTTCTATGATGTACTATTATAAAGCACCTGTGCTAATATAAAGTACATGGCTCAGAGAAGGTGCTCAATGTTGATTTTCTTTCCCTCTCACTTAACCTAAACAGACTATAATTGTGTTAACACCACACCAGTTGGAGACAAATATGGCAATCTAATTACTCAGGAAATACTTCCAATGTGCCAGACACTATGAAAACACATAATGAAATGACTTCAAAAGATTTTTCTAACAGAAACATTTTATTTTCCCCCAAATAATGTATATGTGTGTATGTATACATGTGTGTGTATATGTGTGTGTGTGTGTGTGTGTGTGTGTGTATAGAAAAAAAAAAAATATATATATATATATACAGAGAGAGAGAGAGAGAGAGAGAGTTTTTCCATGGTGTATATTTTTACTACATTATGAAATTCATCATAAAAACAGAACTCAAAGCTCATTAAGATCATTTGGAAAGGAACACTTTTAAAAACAGTTGAGAAAACTTCAGGCAGCCTAGCCAACTCTATTATCCTAAAATTAATCAATAACACCCTAATTAGCATCTTGAAATAAGCTCCCCAGGAAAATCCATCAGTCTGCCAAAGAAATGTTATTTTTAAAAAGGAAAAAAAAATGCTTATGAATACTTCACAAACTTTCAAATAAACCACAAAGGTTTCTCTACAAAAGTGCTATATTAAAAGCTTCCAAATGTTGTCTATAAATCTCTCCGCAAATTGATGTAAACATGTAGAATACATCAAAATGTAAATGCAATCACAAACAAGGCTTAATTTTTTAAGTAAATAAAAGTACTAGTATGAGCCCTTTATACTGTCCCTTCCAGAAATGAAGTATATTGAATTTTCATTTGAAAATCTTTGGGTTTCAAAAAAATGTACCCATTAAAAAAAAAAAAAAAAAGAACTGAAACAGCTGGTGTAAAAACAGTAAATCAATACATTTAAGAAAACCAGGGAAAACTGACTGAAAGATAACCTATAAAAACTATGCATGTAATTAAACCATTCAAAAAACATGGTTTAGTGAAGAAAAAAAGTACATTCAACTGCAAAATGATTTCAAAAAGCTCAAAACCAACTAAATTTTTAAACTCAGAGCAATGGTGAATGGAAACAAACGGCAGAAATTTCATTGGGAAAGGATGCTGCTGGCTTGTAGAACTTTGAGGTTCTCTATACCAGAGTAAATAAAAATGGAACACTAATTTTCTACCAGATTTCTTTATAAAGAAATTTTTTAAAAAATATCTAGTTTAATTTCACTGTTGCTCATTTAGGCTGATATCTAAGAATTGTTTAAAATGATACTATGAATAAAGCAAGCAGATGATTATCTCTTTTCATTTCTACTCTCTTTCCATTTAAAGGAAGCACAATTATTCCCTGTTCACAGGAACTCAATCTCCCTTTTACTCTGTACCATTCATCTTGATTTTCAATGTTATTTTTAAACTCTATTTACGATTAAAGACTTCATTCAAAATATTGCTGTGGACAGAGAAAACAAACTGCCAAAATGCCTAGACTCTTTCTTCTCATTTCATGGCACAGTCAACACCCTGCACATCTTCTGAGGACTCTCTCGTTTCTTGCTTACCTGATGCTCCTCTGTCACATTTGCTCTCCCATGAATACATCTTCAATAATTATTATCAGTTACTTTTAATGAGAGGCTAAAATGATCACCCACTGCCACATATTGAAAAATAAGAAGCTTACATTCTAATATAAGGTTCTTTCACGAACTATCTCTCTTGCCTGAGTTATGCCAGAGCCTTGATATTTTTTCTCACCAGGAAAATACATTTAGATTTCTTTTCATCAGCTTCTTTATTCAGCTCCTAAGGGTTCCCTCTATCTTTCCTCTCCTTAGGTAATCACTATATTTTACAGAACTCAGTTACTAAAAGTTAACATCTTTTCATCAAACTAAGTAAAAAAAAAACAGAACTGGTAAGAAATAATTTCCTCCTAATCTTACCTGATTTAAACATCAAATATGATTCAATATTATGAAATAAATTAACAGGTTACAGAGAGGTTTCTGCACTCACATCTGCCAGTAGCAGCACTGACTATGAGTCTTGAGGTTAACTTCTAGGAGGCCTGAGATGATTTCTAAACTTCTTTAATTTTTTTATTGAGAACAGCCAAAGAAAATGAGTTACCTTAATATGCATCGTAATCTTCACCTTATTACATTAACTCCTTTCTTAAAAATAAATTCTTCCATGAAGCCATCACTAATATTTGATATTATTCTCACCACTTCAAAACTACTTCAACTAATGTTTTAGCACAGCTTGAATAAAAACCAAAAATGTAAAACTGTGTTAGATGAATAATAATTTATGTGCCTGCTGTTGTGTTTTCTATGACTTCGCTTCAGAATATTGATAACTGGCTTCCTTAACTTAATTTTACATACATGTATCTCACCTACTATCATACATACACAGATAATTTTATAATACAGTACCATAAGTTTCTTGAGGATAATTTTAACAATTATTTACCAAAGATGAAATTAAGGATAAGCTATTTGTTATATGATAATTTAAATATACACAGCTACTTCAAAAGATTATTTTACAGTCAGCTTTTTTTTTTTTTTTCTTTTTTGAGATAGTCTCACTCAGTCACCCAGGCTGGAGTGCAGTGGTGTGACCTCAGCTCACTGAAACCTCCACTTCCCAGTTCAAGTGATTCTCCTGCCTCAGCCTCCCCAGTAGCCGGGATTACAGGCATGTGCCACTATATCTTTTTTTTTTTTTTTTTTTTTTTGTATTTTTAGTAGACGCTGGGTTTTGCCATGCTCCCAGGCTGGTCTTAAATCCCTGGCCTCCTCATGCTGGGATTACATGCATGAGCCACTATGCCTGGCCTACAATCAGCTTTTTTTTTAAGTGAAAGAAACTAAGAAAAAACATAATGATATAGTAAACACCTTGAGCACAAATTTTTGTTCATAAAAATATGTAAGCCAAGTATTACATTTCAGCTTTTTATTATGTAAATGTGCAGAGGGGCTTTCTCAAGAAGCATGAGCACAATATATGTCTCTGACTTTTAAAAAAGCATATAAAGTGGTCAATAAATGAAAGTACAAAATATACACATACAAACACAACAGATTTAACCAAATTTAAAAAGATGAAAGGACAGAAATCTAATTTGTTTAAAATGTTTGGTTTAAGAGTTATTTTCTGCTTTAACAGAAAAAAATTGCTAACATAATAAATTGCTTTACCACCTATTAGTGATAGCAATATTCGAATTTAAAAATAAAAATTATTAGAATAAAAAAGGTGATTACATAATTTAAAATATATACTATCAAAGTAAGAACATATATAAGAAAAATAATAAACAACACAATTCAAAATTATTTACCAAATGATAACTATACTTAAAACTGAACATTTAAAGACATATTAAGCAATTACATCACACTTAGTTTATAATCATAAAATCTGTAAAACGTCCTTATGATTTATACAATCAGTTTAAAAATATATTTTTTGCCATATTAACATACATACACTGTCGTTATTAACTTAATCTTTAATACATCATATATAATCACACCCTTCCAGAATACTTATTGTAGCTCAGGTATGAAAATCTCTCTAGTACCCAATAGACATGTAATCAGCACTTCCGACAAAGAAATTCATTAAAGGATGAAGATTACTTAAATTTACACTAGTTCCTGAACACAATTACAAAACGGAATAGATATCTACTTAACTAGAAGTGTTATAATTTCCTGAGTTGACATTAGAGAAAACTCAAGGATGTCTCCAGTCAGAGACAGTGCATTCTTAGGCTAAAATGGAAGAGATCATGGTAAACAATGACCTCCACATCGTTAAATCAAGTGGTCAATCCTGTAATGTCACCATATTCAGACCCAGCAGCATCTGACATAGGTTCCATTCTTCTTGAAACACTTCCTTCTTCATGCTGTAGTGACACTACCATCTCCTAGTTTTCCTCCTTACACAGCTAGTTGCTCTTTTTAAGATTCTTCTAGTCTCACCCCTCTATCTAATCCCTGAATGTCATGAGGCCCAGGACCCTCATGTCTTCTTTATTTACACCCTTTCACCTTAATCTTCTTACCTGGTATCAGGGCTTTAAATACAAGTAGATGCTGATGACTCCTAAATTTACAAACTCAGCCGTGATCACTCTAGGTGCTTCTATGCAAATGCCTCCTCAGCAAGTCCACTTGAATGTTTAATAGATATCAAAACAGACACATGATTTTTCACCAAGTCCTGTTCCTTCCCACTCTTCCCCATAAAAGCAAATGGCACTACCATTCTCCCAATTATTCATCATTCTCTTTTCCTCACACTCTACATCAGCAGGACCTACTTCAAAAACAGAACCCAAGTCAGTCCACTTCTCACCTGTTGGGTTATATTACCTAAAGACCTAAATTTCTCTAAGAAGAAAAAGAAAAAAACCAGTTACAGATGCTGACAAAGACAGCATTTATACAGAAATCTGTATAGAAAACCAGCAATGATGGTTGCGTAGAAGCCTACTAGATGCAATCATAGAAGATAATTTGGAGCCTGAGAGAGAAGGGTAAAAGAACCTATGAGATGGTAAAGAGTTGATTGAGAAGCAATCACACTCCAATCTCAGTAACCTTTACCATTTGTGTGACTCAATCCTCCAATTTCTCTATAAGGAAAAGAACAACTTGGGAGAAAAAAAATTTTGGCAAAGATTTATTTTTATTTTAGTAGCATTTTCAACTAGCAGGTGCCAAGATAAAGAAAATATGAACTTAAAATCTAAAAGAAAGATATATGAACAGTAATTAAGTCACTACATACTGTACAGAGATCCTTATATTGCAGCTTTTGGAATTTTGTGTCTGTGTTTCCTGCACACAGTTCCACATATCCAAGAACAACTTGAAACACGGTGTTGTGAATGGCTTGGGTGAAGTGCATATGAAGTTGATCCATTGCTGTCTGTGGAAAGAAAAAACATACAACATAATTTCACATTAATAAAATAAATAAATTTCAACAGACTGAAAACACCCAGGGAAACATCTTTTCAAATAATAGTTACAACACAAAGATTCCTATTATTCTCAGATGTATAACTAGGTGTTATAATTTGCAAATAACCCTTAATATAACCACATTATCACAGCACTCAAAATAAATGTGACTTGTGATCACTGCTCTGTTGTTCTGTATTTATAACTGGTACTTATCTTACTCTTTCTTAAATATGTTGTACATAACCATATTTCTAATTACCCGCTGCATCGTTCTGCATGCATTGGTTCTTTTATGTCATTCAGTGCACTTCTCAACGGTAATCTTCTCAGGGAACCTTCCATGACTAGCCTATATAAATCAGTACTTTCTATCACTGCATCCACATACCCTGATTTATATTTCTTTGTAGCACTTGTTACTACCTGACACCATATTCATTTACAGGCACACCTCGCAAAGCAAATTTTTTGGTTTCCTAGTGCATATAAAAGTTACATTTATACTGTACTGTAGTCTATTTAAAGTGTGTAATAGCATTATGTCTTAAAAATCAACATATAAACCTTAATTTGAAAAAAACTGCTAAAAATGCTAATAATCATCTGGGCCTTTAGCCAGTCAATCTTTTTGCTGGTCAAGGCTCTTGCCTCAATGTTGATGGTTGCTGACTCATGAGGGTGTTGGTTGCTAAAGGCTGAAGTGGCTATGGCAATTTCTGCAAAGACAATGATGAAGCTTGCTGCATTAGTTGACTCTTCTTTTCACAAACAATTTCTCTGTAGCACGCAATGCTGTTTTTGATAGCATTTTATCTGAAGGAGAACTTCTTTCAAAACTAGACTCAATCCTCTCAGACCCTGCTACTGCTTTATCAGCTAAGCTTATGTAATATCCCAAATTATTTCTTGTTACTTCATCAATGTTCATGGCATCTTCATTAGTAGGTTCCATCTCAAGAAACCACTGTCTTTGCTTATCCATAGAAGCAACTCTTAAATCCATTCGAATTTTATCTTAAGACTGTAGCAATTCAATCACATCTTCAGGCTCCACTTATAATTCTACTTCTGTTGCTGTTTCTACCACATCTGCAGTGATTTCTTCCACTGAAGTTTTGAACCTCTCAAAGCCATCATGAAGGCTGGAATCAGCTTCTTCCAAACTCCTGCTAATGTTGGTATTTTGACCTCCTCTCATGAATCACGAATGTTCTTAATGGCATCTAGAATGGTGAATCCTTTATGGGAGGTTTTCAGTTGACTTTCCTGAGATCCCAGCAGAGGAATCGCAAATTTTCTTAATGGCATCTGGTAAATCCGGAAGGTTTTCAATTTACTCTCCCCAGATCCATCAGAATAATCACTATCTATGGTACCTATAGGCTTAAAAAAATGTATTTCTGAAGTAGTATGACTCAGAATTACTCCTTGATCCGTGTGTTACAGAATAACTGTTATATTAGCAGGCATGAAAACAACATTCATCTTCTTGTACATCTCCATCAAAGTCATGGGAGACTAGGTACATTGTCAATGGACAGTAATATTTTGAAAGGAACATTTTTTTCTGAGCAGGAGGTCTCAACAGTGGGCTTAACATGTTTAGTAAACCATGCTGTAATAGATGTGCTGTCATCCAGGCTTTGTTACTACACTTATAGAGCACAGGCAGAGTAGATTTAGTAATCTAAAGTGCCCTAGGATTTTCAGAATGATAAATGAGCAATGGCTTCAACTTAAAGTCCCCACATGCATTAGCCCCTAACAAGAGAGTCAACCTGTGCTTTCAAGCTTTGAAGCCAGGCACTGACTTATCCTCTGTACCTCTGAAAATCCTAGGTGGCATCTTCTTCCAATAGAAGGCTGTTTCGTGTACAATGAAAATCTGTCCCTTAGTGTAGCCATCTTCACTAAGCTTAATCATTTCTAGGTTTTGATTTAAAGTGAGAGATCTGAAGCTATTGTAGGTTTTAATTGGCCTAATTTCAATACTGTTGTTTCAAAGAATAGAAAGGTTCAAAAAGAGGGAGAGAGAAGGAGGAATAGCCAGTTGGTGCAGTGGTCAGAACACATACAACATTTGTCAATTAAGCTCACCATTTTATATGAGCATGGCCCATGGACTACAAAACAATTACAACAGTAATCTCAAGTGTAAATAACGCAGTATCTAAAAAGCACAATAAAGTGAAGTGAAATAAAAAGAAGTATGTCAGTATCCCTCACTAAAAGGTAAGATACATAAAACCCTATATCCAGACACCTGGAGCAATGCACGTAGGAGGTACAAAAAATATTTATGGAATGTAAGGCTTAATGTTATGGGGGAAATGAGAAGTTATAATCCTATTTTCAAAGGTGTTTAAACATATCCCTCAAAATTGCTAAGTTCTTTCTTCTTGGATTTTTTTTCTTGGGTATAGCTTAAGACATGAAAATCAACGTACAATAAACAGTAAAATTTATTTATTCAGGTTTCAAAATGTAGAGTTTAAATTGTTTAGTAAATTCTTAAACTTCCTTCTAAAAGAGGGGACCATTTAAGGAAAGAAAACATTTACATCTATAATATTAAATGTTGTCTAGGTAAACATATAATCCTATACAAACAAAAAAGTCAATTAACTTTCAAAACCATGGCACCTGTTTCAAGTTTTTCAAGGAAGCCCTTGAACGTTAAAAGTATGCAAAGCCATACCTTATGAGAGAATTTATGATATTTCGGGGATAATGGGAGCCTCTGAAATATCTGATAAATAAAATCAACCTGTGTTACAGATAAATGTACAAAATGTACAATGTTTACATATCATTTTGAGGGAGTCATGCTGGCCTACCTAACAACCCATGAAGCTGCAAATTAGGAAGTCTTGTTTCAGAACCAAGAGCTGAGATAAAAGGAACTACATATTGTCTCCTACTGAATTATCTTACAATATACTTTTTGGAAAATCTACATAAAATTGTGAAAATATTAACCCTGACAAGTACTTCATAGTTGAAAATAAACTACTGTAATGTTTTAATCACATTATATACATTCTGAATCTAAGAGAACAACCATTTTATCATTGTTAATTCAGCATAAAAATGTACTCCATTAAATAAAACTTTCTAAGGACATGAGATTAGTAACATTCAGACTTAATCAAGAAGGACAACAAATTCCTGATTAAAGAAAAATGCAAACATCCTTTTGAAACAAACCTGTGTTTTCCCAAGAAGTCGATAAGCTTGTTGAACCTTGGTATAATGGTTAATGTCAAAATTCTTGCAGATTTTGGAAAGAGCTACATCCAACTGTTCCTATGAAATTAAAAGAAGAAGCAAAAAATGGTTAAGGAATTACGTTTTCAAGGAAATGATAAGAAAACATTAACACTAATCTCTCACTTTTAGTTAATATTTAAATACATTTACTATCATACCAGATTTCAAAGTCAAAAACAAATTTAAATAAAGTTATAAATTGTAATTGTAAATTTATTAGCAACTATAATCAAGTTTACCAACATATTAACATGTGAGTTTCTATGTCTTAAAACCCATGCCTAGTGTTTTACAGGAAACAAAATAATAGTTTTGTAATGAATCTTATTCTTATTACTACTTAATGTTTCCTCAATCATCTGCTAAAATATCATATAAACTGAATTGGAGGGACTACTGGAAAACAGCAGAACAATCTTTCTGTAATCAATGAAAAGGAATTCTCAACAAAACTATATTGAATTGAAAAGTATATGCCTCAAGGTTTAAGCTTTAATATCTAAATTACTACACTTTATAGATTTCTATCTCAATGATTTCACTTTTAAATAAGAGCTTTTAATATAAATACAGAATGATACTATTAAGAGTGAAGAAATACTGAGCTCTCAAAAGAAAGCTTTCATTAAAATGTTCAGGGAAATGTTAACTTAAGCCACTCAAAGCAGTTGTTTTTGTAACTATCAAATAAACTGTCATTCTCACAATTATTTAATAGGAAATAATTGCATTTGTGGTCAAAAATCATTTTCACAAAAGGTAATTAGAAAGTCTAATCTCAACTTTTATAAATACTCTTATCAGGAAAACAGTAAAATACTAGAAGAAACAAAATATATTTATTAAAATGAATACCCTCCTTTGCAAAGACTGACAAGGAAAGAGATGAACTCTGAATATATGTAAGAGGCAAAACATGCTTCATACTCACAATCACATATCTCTGTCTTCCTAGTTTCTACATTTTTGATGAACTATATGAGTATCACTATGAGGTTTAGGAATTTAGGGGGATTTTCATCAGCCAATAATCACTTATAAGTAAATTAACCCACTATACCAAATAATAAAGTAACTGATAATTGAAATATAATAGAAAGTATTTAAAAATAATAAAGTAACTGATAATTAAAATATAATAGAAAGTACTTTGACTATTATATCATTTATATGAGAGCATACCTATGACAAATAATTTGGGAATTTTTCTGGAAACGGTAATATTGTCAAATGCTGTTTTGGGATCCCATAATTTACAAGTAAATGTTTACACTAACTTGACCATGGATAGATATTCCAAATGAAAATCAAGAAATACAGAAAACTAGAGACATTGGTAATAACATGAAAGCCAAAACACAGTGTTGCGTCTATGCTATTCAAAACCTTCTGAAAAGAAAAAGCCATTTAACTTAGGATATAATCCTTCTTACCTCAATCTGTTCCAAGGTATCTTGCAGCTTTGAATTCAGTTCACTATTTAAAAAAACAGAGTTAGATGTGTCTATCTCTAAAAGAGACAAATTGAGTGCTAATTAGATACATACTAACTGAATAATAAATCAACAAAATCAAAGATTAAGAGTATGAATAGTAAGACATGCTGCTGATTCTATATATAGACAATGCCACCAGCAACAGGATTTTGTGAGTAGAATATCTTCAAGAATCTACAGATCAAACTGAAAAAACTGAAGAATTGAAAATTGACAACTTTTATGAGACTGGTGTGCTGCCTGCTGCACTGAGGAGACAGGTTGACAGCAATTTTTAAAGAGAAAAAGGATAGCCAGGTGGGGTGGCTCATGCCTGTAACCCCAATACTTTGGGAGGCTGAGGCAGGCAGGTCACTTTGAGCTCATGAGTTCGAGACCAGCCTGGATTACAGGGCAAAACCCAGTTTCCACAAAAAATACAAAAAAAAAAAAAAAATTAGCCAGGCATTGGTGGCTCATGCCTGTAGTCCCAGCTACTCAGGAGGCTGCGGCTGGAGGATCACCTAAGCTCAGGAAGTAGAGGCTGCAGTGAGCTGAGATCACATCATTGCACTGCAGCCTGAGTGACAGAGTGAGACTCTGTCTCAAAAAATTTTAAAAAATAATAATAAAGAGAAAAATATAATTTCAAAGTCAAATTTCCAAAATAAAAATAATTTCTATATTATTACGAATAAAGATTTAGAAAACAGTATTTATTTACTATTTTTAAAACCAAATACCTGGGAATAAGTCTAACAAAAAATATGCAATAAAATACTGAGATAAAGTAGCCTTAAATACATGGAAGTATATGCTATGTTAACACATTTTTGTTGTTGTTGTTGTTGTTCAGAAATGGTTTCACTCTGCTACCCAGGCTGGAGTGCAGTGACATGAACATAGCTCACTGCAAGCCTTGATCTCCTATGCTAAACAGATCTACCCATCTCAACCTCCAGTAGCTGGGACTACAGGCATGTGCCATCACATTTGGCTAGTTTTTTGTTTGTTTGTTTTAATTTTTGTAGAGATAGAGTCTTGTCACATTGCCCAGTCCCGTCTTGAGTTCCTGGGCTCAGGTGATCCTCCTACCTTAGCCACCCAAAGTGCTGAAATTACAAGTGTGAGCCTATTCATCTGGCCAGTGTTAATATACTAAAATCTTCAATATAATTCTCACCAAAATGATCTATTACATTAACAGAAATTCTAACCACAATCACAGGTAGCTTTCTGTGTGTGTATGTGTGAAAATTAACAAGCTGCTTATAAAATTTAAGTAAAAATGTAAAGGGCTAAGAATAGTCAAGAAAATCTTGAAGAACAATGTGGAAGGACGTATACTAAAATAGGTTAGACTTATTAAGTTACTGTAATAAGATAGCAGTGCTGACATGAGGATACATAAGCAGATCAACAGAACAGAATAAAAATAAAGGAAAAAAGTCTTCAGATCTATGACAAAGAGGATATCCAATTGGCTGTTAAACACATAAATAGTGTGTCTACATAAACAATGTTTGTGTGTTTAATAGCCAATTGGATATCTTCTTTCTCAGTGATCTGAAGACTTTTACCCTTTATTTTTATTCTGTCTGAAACCTACTGGCCATTCAGGAAATGCAAATTAATACTATAAATACACCATAAAAAATGAATGAGAAGAATGGCTAAAATACTTTAAAAACGAAAAATGACACCACCAAATGTTGACAAGGATGTTGAGCAAATGGAACTACTCCTTTGATGCTAGAGGAAAAGGAAACTGACATAACCTCTTGGAAAACCCTAGTATCTAGTGAAACAACACACAGTCTACCTCCCAGCAGGTCTAGTCCTGGATATATACTGAACAGAAAAGCACATAGAATGCTTGCAGCATTTTTTTTTTTTTTTGAGACACAGTCACTCTGTCACCCAAGCTGGATGCAGTGGCACAATCTTGACTCACTGCAACCTCCACCTCCGAGGTTCAAGCGATTCTCCTGACTCAGCCTCCTGAGTAGCTGGGATTACAGGTGTGCATAATCACACACGGCTAATGTATTATATATTTGGTAGAGAGGTGATTTCACTGTGTTAGCCAGGATGGTCTCCATCTCCTGGCCTTGTGATTCGCCAGCCTTGGCCTCCCAAAGAGCTGGAATTCGCTCGCCTTGGCCTCCCAAAATGCCCCAAATGCTTGGCCTCCCAAAGGCGTGAGCTATCATGTCTGGGCTCAGCATTATTTTTAATAGGCAAAAACCTGAGACAAAACAATTGCCTAGAATAATCAGATAAGTAAAGTGTGATATATTCACACAATGAAATCCTATAGCAATTAAAATGTATGTGAACCCCAAAAATGTGTTTGGCAAAAGAAGTTAGCAAAAATAGTTATATACTGTATGCTTCCATTTATTTAAAGTTCTAAACAAGCAAAACTAATTTCGGTGACAGAAGCCAGAACAGTGCTTACCTTTAGAAGAATGACCAGGATGGGACATGAGAGAAGTTTCTGGGCTGTTAGAAATACTCTGTTTCTACTTCTGGGTGGTAATTACATATCTATGTTTACTTTATAAAAATTTACTGAGTTATACACTTAGGACACGTGATTGAATCTAGATTTTTTCCCCCTTTAATTCTTACTAGGTCAGTAAAAAACAATTAACAGAACTAACATTGTTTGAATTACTATATCTCATTACTAAAAAGGATGTGATATCTAAAAAAATAAATGCAAGCAGAGAGAACATATTTTAACAAGAAAGAATAAAACTTTATTGTTTTTAAAATAATACAAACAAGTGAAAGACATTTATCACACCAAAATCAGACAAACATTTTAAAAACTGCTATCTACTGGTTATAAACTTGACTCTCAAATTCCTAGCAGCCAAAGCAAAAGGGAGGGCCACAGTACATAACTCAGTGTCTATAACATAAGAACATATCAGTAGCTCAAAGGGGAAAAACAAGGCCGAGTGCGGTGGCTCACGCCTGTAATCCCAGCACTTTGGGAGGCCAAGGCGGGCAAATCACAAGGTGAAGAGATTGAGACCATCCTGGTTAACATGGTGAAACCCAATCTCTACTAAAAATACAAAAATTAGCTGGGCGTGGTGGTGCGCACCTTAGACCCAGCTACTCAGGAGGCTGAGGCAGGAGAATCACTTGAATCCAAGAGGTGGAGGTTGCAGTTAGCCGAGATCATGCCACTGCACTCCAGCCTGGAGACAGAGCAAGACTCGGTCTCAGAAAACAAAAAAAGAAATCAAAACAAAAATATAAAAATCACTTTTGTTGGCATCAAGTTCTGAGAAAAAATTTTGCCAGGTCATGATCTCCAAAGGCAAAACACCCCTGACAATATCCTTATAATACATACAATAATGGGTTCCTTACATTTGCTTCTTATAGAGCCTTTCAATGCAAGATGAAGAGATAATACCAGAATGAGATAGATGTATAGACAGATATACATAGCAATCTGTCAAAAAAGTAAAACCAATATAATACAAGTATACAGTTTTTGATGCTCTTAAGAATAAATGTCCAAACATCTAGAGGAAGTAGATCATGTTCTGCAAATAGGATAAGCCTACTTTGAACTGAAGTTGAGGACTGGAGAGTATATTCTCCAGTAAAAACTGAAAGTGAGCAAAACTATATCCTTTGACAATTAAGAGTGTAGAGCTGATACCTTATTAGAAAAATTAAGATCTCTAACCAGAATTTGTGCCTGAAATATAGCCAAATCCTCAGATATAGATTAAGGGAATACTTGTAGGTAGGACTGAAATTTCCTTAAAAAAATTATTCTAGGATAATTCCTGCCCATAAAGTAATGAATGGATAAATAAGTGAAGAATGAAAACTATTGTCCCCAAAATAATTCCCCCAAAAGGATAGCTATGATAGTGCCTTAACACTTTCAAAGAACTAAATAAATCCTCATCCAACCCCAAGAAAACCAAAACAAACAAATCAGTATCTTCTCTCCGTCAGAGCTGTTCCTTCTCCTGTGTTCTCTGTCTCAATTCACAGCATCACCACCTACTCAAACAAAGCTGAAAATCTCAGAGTCATCTTGCATTCTTCTCTCTATATATGTAATTTGTAATCAAATCCTGATGCTGCTACCATTTCATTTCGGTATTTCCCATATCTACGTGTGCTTATCTTTACTTAATTCTGTGTCCTAAATCAAGCAATTATCACCCTTTACTTAGGGAATATAAATCATTCTATTATAAAGATACATGCATGTGTATGTTCATTGCAGCACTATTCACAATAACAAAGACATGTGAATAGCAAGAAATGGAGTCAACCCAAATGCCCATCAATGATAAACTGGATAAAGACGACGTGGTACATATACACCATAGAATACTATGCAGCCATAAAAAGAAATGAGATCATGTCCTTTGCAGGGACATGGATGATGCTGGAAGCCATTATCCTCATCAAACTAACACAAGAATAGAAAACCAAATACTGCATGTTCTAACTCATAAGTGGGAGCTGCACAATGAGAACACAGAGACACAGGGAGGGGAACAATATATGCTGGGGTCTATCAGGGGATGGGTGGGGAGAAGAGCATCAGGAAAAATAGCTAATGCATGCCAGACTTAATACCTAGGTGATGGGTTGATAGGTGCAGCAAACCACCATGGCACACATTTACCTATGTAACAGACCTGCACATCCTGCACATGTACCCCAGAACTTAAAATAAAATAATGAAATAAATAGCCTCCTAACAAATCTGCACATGCAACACACTTACTTTAAATCAATTCATCCATTTATTTGACAAATACCATCAACCAAACTTTGTATAACATCCTTCAAAAAGCCGTCAGAAATAGCTCTGAGCAGGGGTCTAACTTCACATTGGATTTGGTCAATATTCTACATGATCTAGCAGACGCAGTGTTGTCAAAATGTTTGTATGTGAGAGACTTTAGGCAAGGCAAGTGCTCTCTAGTCCTGTGGGCCCTACCATCT